CCCCGCAGCCCGCGGCAGCACTGGAAGCACACGGCCCACGCCTGCTCCTCGTTGATGGGCTGCTCGTACGCCTTCAGCACCTCCTCCAGGGACAGCTCCAAGGGGTCCTGTGGCTCAACGCCCCTGGCCCGCTCCGCGTCGGCGCTGGGGCTGCCGGCCCGGGCCATCGCCGCCCCATTATCGCCGCCTGCGATCCGGGCGGGTTTCCATAACAGCCGCGACGGGTCGGACGACGCAGCCCCGTGGAGGCGCGGGGGGCGGACCCTGTACCGCCCGCCGGTGCTTTGTCATCCCCGGCCCCGCCCCGCGATTGGCCACAGGTAGGGGTGGGACCGGAGGCGGGGCGCAGAGCCGGGGTGGGGGGTGAGGGGCGGGGCAGATCCGGGCAAGGGGCGTTTGGCTGGGGAGGTGGGAGGGGCGGAGTCAAGCGGGAGGGTCCTCAGAGCCGGGGTAGGGAGGAGCTGCAAGGCGGAGCGGGGCAGGGGGTGCTGAACCAGGGGTGGGGGAGGGGAGTGGAGGTGAATCCGGGAGGCCCAGGCGAGAGGGGGAGGGGAGAGGGACGCAGAACCGAGGCTGAGGAGGGGCACGGTGAGCCCCCAAGGCTCGCTCTCACGCACGTAGATCTCGGCCGGTGCCTGGGCATTCAGCCTGGGACACAAGGCAGGGACGGTTCACACACGCACACTCTGTCTCTCTCTCTCTCTCTAGCAGGCTGGCAAGGTGACCTCAGGCGGTTACTGTGGGGATGAGAGGGGGGAGGGGGATGATCCCCACTGCATCAGACCCTCGGGCATGAAGCCTTCATGAGTGATCCTCCCTGCGTGCCGACCTTCTCCGTGAAAAGTAAACAGACCACAGTCCACCAACGACAACACAACACTCCCTCCTCAGACATACATGTCTCCATCCCCCTCCCAGCTCACTGCGCTCCCACGAATACAGGTGGCTTCGTTTAGAATAACAGGGCCAGAAAAGGCAATCAGAAAATAAACAGCAATAAGGCAAGCGGCCCCATACCTGGTCGCCCACCAGAATTACCTGGGGAACACCTAAAATGCAGACTCCTGACCTCCCAGCAGGGGATTCTAACCCAGAATGTTTGAGGTAAAACTTGGGATTCTTGCAATTTTTTTTTTAGGTTTTCTCGTAATTCTGAACAGCTGAGCATAGAAACCACATGGAACCCACACAGGCAATTTCACCTCATCTGAAGGAGACTTGAGGTGGAGGTGTAGGCTGTCACCTGGGGTCCTGCTATTAGAGAATGCCATCTGGGTTTTCTAATCTTCAAACAGAAAGTAGTTTGATAAAAGATAAGTTCTGCCTAGAGTTGTTATGATCAACAGCCCAGCTGTCCAGTTTTCACAGCTTCCCCCACTTTCCCAGGCTTCCAGTACACAACTGTAGGTAACAGGAGCATTGAGCTTACTAGAAGGAAAAATGGAGTAGAGGCAGAGATGATGCTCATCTCTTGAATAAATTGTGCAAAGGACCTGGGACTCAGGTTGATCTTCCTCCCTGGTCTTTATCATCCGCTCCTCCCTGTGGTTATCCAGTGAGAATGGGTCAGAAATTCCAAGCTCTGCCTTAGAGCACCAACAGCAAGAAACCTTTAATGGAGAGTCTTATTTACATAGGAGCAGTGGAGTCCACACAAATGACTTAAGGAAAGTCCCTGCGTCAAACAATGCCAGGTGTGTGGTCATGGGGAAGTTGTGATGTTGTCATTGACAAGCCCACACACAGGGTGGTTTCTGCTTTTAGATTCCTTGGGAATAAAGACTTCCACTCCCAACTCCTCACTGAGAAGGGCTTAACCACTAACTCCTTAGAAACCAGGACTCCTGAGCCCCACCGCCCCTCCCCGGTAGTGGGAGTGCCTTCAGGAGCCACAGCGTTGCTTGTGTACACAGGAAGTGAGAAGCCAGTGGTAGCCAGTGGACATGGCCAGCTGGGAGATTTGAGCCGGAAGATGGAAATTACCCTTAATTGGAAGGAAGCTGGCTGGATCATAGCAAGGAATGCCTTCTCTCTTTTGAAAGCACCTTGGGTTTCCTTTACTGACGAAAGGTTTTTAGGGTCTCATTTGATAAGCAACCACTGGGTAAGGACCTGGTGGTGACTCACACCTGGCTGTCTCTGGTGGTCCTTGGAGGTCACCTGTGCACAGGTACGATGACCCTTTTTGAACATTGTTTTTTTTTTTAAAAAAAAAAGAGATCTCTGTGCACTTTCCAAGACATTAACCAAAAATATTTAGAACACCAGAGTTTTACTAAAAATTTTTAAATGTTAGGTTCTACTTACTTATCCCTTGATAGCTGAAGATTTTCTCCCCTGGCCATGACCAAAATGAGGAGACAGAAGCACCACTCAGCTCTTGGGATGCCCGTGGAAACCATATCATTTTTTTCCTCCCGGGTAATTTTACTAACACGTCTCCAAAAAGTACCAGATGAAACCTAGAAGTGGGCCTAGTGTGAAAAGTCAGCTTGGTGCTCCTAATGGTGGTAGTAGCGGTGAGAGGATTCCAGCCCTGTAGACTGGGAAGCCAAGAGAGACTTTTACGCCAGTAGCCAGAGTAGAAGAGGACATACACTAGAAGAGACACTGATCCAATTAATCCATGGCTCTGCGACTAGATGTAGCTGCTCTTACCTAGCTGGTTGGAGCTCTGAGTTTAGTGACAAGTTCCATCGAGTAATAACCAAAGTCAAGGCGAAGATAACCATCTCCTTCCCATGAAGGAGTTCCATGAACAACTTGTACTTTTGATTGAAAAGTCTAGTCAGTATTTTAAGTCAGACCAAGCTCTCTACCACAAGGACCTCATGTGGGTAAGCTCATCCTTGTGTGGGCTACACCACACCCAGGGATTTTTACATGTGAGCAAAATGAATTGTGCCTAGTTAAGGTGGGAATTGGGGTTTATCCTGGTTAAAAATGGCAGTTGCATTTAAAACTTCACTGGAAAAAAATTAGCTATTTGTCCAAGAGTATACAACACTGGATGTCAGAATCAAAGAAATATTAGTTCCACTGTAACTTGAACTTGTCATTTGGATTCTAGAAATAAAACAGTGTATTTCCAGCTGTTAGAGACTCAGGTGAGGAGTAGGAGTGGAAATTGATGTTGGTCAATCATTAACTCGACCTGGAAGCTTTGCATCAAGGTTATTTCTACAGTTTTGGGAATCCCCTTTAGCCCGCTCCTAAAAAAACATGTTCCTTATACTTTATTTCCAGTGGATAAAGACATCCCAACGAGGGGGATGGTGTCAGTAACAGTGGGCTGCCCTGCTTGGGGATGGCCAGAAATGTTTGGTGCAGTGATTAATTTACTGATGCTTGGAATTGGAGAATCACTGTATCAACTCATCACATTAGCAAAGATGCTCCCAAAATATTCATCTTAGCATGGGGGATGTTCATTCACACATGTTTACTGAGTGCCAGGCATTGATGCCTTATGCCTAGGGAAGGAACAGTGAAAATCCTAGCCAGGTCCTTGCCCTCTTGGACTTTCTGCTCTAAGGGGCAGTCGACATATGCAGGACCTCATTACAGATCTCTTAAGGGCCCCGGTGCTGAGATGTGGGTGGGAGCCACACTAATTATGTCTGTCGTTGGTGCTTTAAAACATATTAGCGGGAACTCTGTCAGTGCTATAAATCATGTCCCTGCAATGGCTAATGCGATGGGGACGGGCTGCGAGGCTGATGGGTGGAGTTGGGCAAAAATGGAAAAGCTCTAGGAATTACACCTCTGAGCATCTTTGCTGACACGGAGACTGGCAGATCCTGATTTTAAGCTCCTGGCAGCCAATACAGCCACATCTGGCTGGATCCCCAGGTATGCTGAGGTCTACGTAACCCTGCCAGGGGGGAGTGCAGGACTACAGGGTCTAAGGTGGCATAGTGAAAACTCCAAGTGTCTTAGAACAAAGGTCAGGGTGAGCTGGGCACATGGGTGATTGGGTTTAAGATCAAAGATGGTTTCAGATCAAAGGCCTCCTCCACTACTCTGGCAGAACTACCTCCTTGCGGTTGGTAGAGTGCGGAGGTTCCCTGGCCCACACCTTCCTAGTCCACTCCACATGGAAAAGCAGGTCAGGTTTTCCCAAGGGGCTCGGTGCAATGAGCTGTTCGCCTTCTGTTGCCATGATTTGGAGGCCCCTGAATGCGCTCTTTGTCACATGGAGGCAATGGGGTGGAGCCCTTGGGGTAGCAGACGGGGCTGAGCTTAGGTCCAGGCAGAAAAGCTGAAATTCTAGAGGTTGTGGTTTTGTGTTCTAGGTTTATTTTGGGATAATGATAAAGGCCATGAATCCCAAGGCAAGCCAGATCGAGTGAGGCTGCACTTGGCTTGGAAAAGTGAGCCCAGGCCAGCTCCAGTGAGGGCTCTGGGACTGGGCTGGTGTTGTGAAGCCATAGAAGTGAAACAGCTGAACACAACAACAAGACAGAGGAGGTCCAGAGCACAGGTATGGCATTGTCACAGTGAGGTCTGGACACTGAGGTCCCAGAGCTGAGCCAGACGAAGAGAGGAAACCCTAGAAGAGAACAGAAAGTGAGGGGACAAAGACTGGTTGGGTTAGCCACTCTCTGTGGAACAGAATCAAGGAGTAGGGCCACTTTAGGGGGACAATCACCCTAGAGTTCCTGACCAGGAGTTAATGAGTTGGGACTGTTTGCTTCCCACTTTGGACGTTCGAGATGGTTTAAAAGTTTCCCACTGGTTCATGTTTTGAATAGATGATCCAGGATAGTTAAAAATGAATTAAACTCCTTTCCAAAGGTATATTCAGACCCCAGCTTATGTCAGCACATGTGGTCATCCACCTCTCTGCTAGATCAGCTCTTCCTCACAACCTGGAGGAATATGCAGGTATACAGAAGAAAGCAGGAGCTCTGCCCACAGATATGAAACTTTCCCTCCACACTGGAGTGAGAACAAAGCACAAAGTAGAGGGTGAGATAATGCTGCCCTCTGGGGAAAGGAGGTAGTGTGTGTGTGTGTGTGTGTGTGTGTGTGTGTGTGTGTGTGTATGTGTGTAATAGACATCAATCTTGGACACCAGATGTGCCTCAGATGCTGGTCTGGGGGGCTGAACTCTGTCAGATTGTAGAAATTACTGCCATAGTTCCTGTACAAATCAAACCAGTGT